CTCATTTTAAGTGAGAACTGTGTGTAAGGTTCCATTGTATATATATATATATGTGTGTGTGTGTGTGTGTGGAGTTTAAGGAAGGTACTGATTTGGAATTATGTAGATGGTAATAGAATAAGGGGTGGATTATGTCCTGGGTTGCAGTATATTCTATCACCATCCTCATGTACTGTTGAAACCAGGTGAGGCAGTGCTCCCTGCTTCCCCCCCCACCCCGGGCTACCTTCTGTTAATGGGCCCATCAATGCCCTGCCCCATGACTCATAGATAACTTCCCCCTGTATTGTCCCCTGTTAATGGGCCCACCACTGCCTTGCTGCATGACTCAGAGATAACTTCCTCCTGGACTGTTTTCTGTTAATAGCTCATCAAGGCCTTATCTCATGACTCACCATCCCATTGTGAGATGCTCCTCCCCGAGGGAGGAGCCAAGCATTCCATACTGGATATAAGCTGAGAATTCGAACACCACAGCAGCCCTTACCTACGGGACTTCCAGAGGACAGGAGCTACTGCTGGACTTTTCAGCTGAAGACCAGACCCCCTTTCTTCCAGAGGATCACGCTTCAACAAGACCACCTCATCTGGACGACTACCATCACCCTAACAGGGTTCCAGGCTGTATTCTGACTCTGTCAGTGTTTTTGATATTATTGCATTTATTCTTTTTATCATTTTCCTATTAAATTATAATTCTGACTTGCGATCTCTCACTGGTTTGATTTCAAACTAGTACACTGTTGAAAAGAAGATCTGTGGAGGGCTGTATGCCCACTGTATGCTGTGGCGCAGTCCACCGGAGCCTGGACTAGCTCAGAGTATGACACGTGTGGGGGACAGCCTCAGTATGGGAATTACCGAAGGCAGAACCTTTAGAGACGCTTGCTTCATGGTGCCAGATCGCTCACCGATGTCAGAGATTGGGCAAAGGAGTAAGGAGGAGGCTCTCTGTATCAGGTTCTAGCAGGGAAGGGTTTATTGAGGCTGAAGGGGTCAGGGACGGAAGAGCCCAGAGCACTAGTGTGCATGGGATTAAATACAGGGAGGTTTCAGGGGCTGGGTACAAAATTTTAACCAATCAGTAACATACAGGGCAGGAGCATGAGGTGATGTTTACAATATAGGAACCAATGAGGATAAGGGGGAGGAGAGGACAGGTCATGTGGGCTAATGGGGCCTGGAGGAGCAGGGAATTTCCAAAGGAGATGTATCATAGGGGGCTGAGCTAATGAGGGATTAACATAGAAGGGTCTAGAACAAAGGGCAGGGTTTACAATGATGGATAGGGAAGGCACTGGAATAAGGAGTTGGATTACAGTGATGGGCAACATAGGGGAGGATACAATTTAGGGACAAACCAACTCTGGAGGAAACATGGGGGAACATAGGAATAAACCATTAACAATAAAACTGTTAAAACAAACGTGGGTCGCAACAATGCTGTACACACCAAAATTACAAAATTTCAAGAACTACATTAATTCAGTTATTCTAGGCCACAATATCCCTTACTTTGCATTTGCTAGCATGCACAACTATATTTACATCTTCAGTCATATTCATCTGACTAATCTGGAGAAAGCTTTGTAAAATAGGACAAGAAGTTGGAAAAGCTAAACAGAAAAGATGAAGCTACTATGCTTCATATATGCTTCATATGCTTTGATAATGCTGCTATCAAAATACAGAGATATCAAATTTGGTATAAGTTCACTGTTCACTTATAGGCCCTTCTGAAACAGTCCTAAGTGGAAAAGCTGGATAGATTTTGTGTTTGAGAGGATAAAGTGAGTCTTGATTTTCACTTGTCCTTTCTTTGCAGAACTAAGAACACTCAGGGTTAATCTTCAAGTTCACATATGAATTGAATGTTCTAATTATTCTAAAGAAATATGTCAATCTAATGCTTGGTTCAAAGGAATGGCTTCCTGATTCCAAAGAATTTTTGGCTTCCTGATTCACAATTCCTTACTTATCCTCCTTGTCTTCTGGAAACTGTACAGAGCTTTTTTGCTTGTCTGTTTGTCAAGATTTTGTTTTTTTTTTCTGACATGCTCTTAAAAAATGTTTTTTTTCTCACAAATCAAATAAACATGCAATAATGAGACTTATCAAAAAGTATTTTTCCAAGGAATTTTAAAAATCATCTTGTTTGAATGAAACACAATTACTTATCAATCTATTAATTTAGCACAGAGGAATCAGGGGGATATCTTAATTAACGACTACCTGAGTATGCACTTGAAGA